AGCATTTTTTTCTGCAACCCCTTTGGCTGAAGCGGTTGTGGGGGAAAAAATGCCTTTAAAAGCCTCTGGCGATCCCAGCTGACTTGCCTGATCGTCAGAGGCTTCTAAAAGCATTTTTTTCCTGCAACCTCTTAAGGTTGTAGAAAAAATGCTTTTAAAAGTAAAAAAAAAAAAAGTTGGCCACACCCACCCAGTCACATTACCCCCCCACACACCAAACCACACCCACAGAACTGGTAGTAACAAATTTTAGATTTCACCCCTGCTCTGTTTATACAACTAAGGATTGTATTAGCTTTTTTGGCTGCTGCTGCATACTGCTGGCTCATATTCAAGTGATCATCCACTAGGACTCCAAGGTCCCTCTCACAGTTACTGTTTTTGATCCAGGTCTAGCCTAATCTATACTTATACCTTTGATTTTTCCTGTCTAAGTGTAAAACTTTGCTTTTCTCCACATTAAGATTCATTTTGTTGGATAGGGCCCATTGTTCAAGTCTGTCAAGATCTTTTTGGATCCTGAGCTTGTCTTCTGGGATGTTGGCTATTCCTGCCAATTTAGTGTCATCTGCAAATTTGATGACTTCCCATTCTATTCCCTCATCTGAGTCATTTATGAAGATATGGAAGAGTACTGGGCCTAAGACAGAACCTTGTGGTACCCCACTGCTTACTTCTCTCCACATGGATGTGGTACCAATAAGGATTACTCATTGAGTACAGTTTGTCAGCCAGCTACAAATCCATCTGGTGGTAATGTTGTCTATTCCACATTTTTCTGGCTTACCAAGAAGTAGGTTGTGGTCTACTTTGTCAAATGCCTTACTGAAATCTAAGTATACTATGTGCACAGCATTTCACTGATCTACTAATATAGTCACTTTATCAAAGAATGAAATAAGATTGGTTTGGCATGATCTGTTTTTAACAAACCCATGCTGGTTATTAGTTATAACTTCATTTGCTTCTAGTTGTTCGCAGACCTGTTTTTTAATTATCTTTTCCAGGATCTTCCCAGGTATTGATAGTGGTTTGTTTAATCTTTTTTTATTTTGGTGTGGGGAAGAGAGGAGGTTGGAATCTATCCTACATCTAGCCATAGTGATCGATTAACCATTACTTTTGACTTGGGTTGTGTGAATTTAGCCGGCTATGCAATAAGCATATTTTGACTCAGTGTATGCTTTTTGGGATTGTGATGACATGCAGACAATAACACCTATACATATACCTGCCCTTTGTGCCCTGATCAGGGTACATTTGAGGACTTCATGACAAGAGTGACAGAATGCAATTAATATTGCTATTTTCTGGGCAAATTGCTAATTTGTATATATTTTAATCTTGTATTTTATATGCTTCTGACACGAATAAACAAACAAACAAACTCAATGTATCACTTTAGTCATTGTCATTTAAATGCAAACTCTCCAAACAGCCATAGCAATAGCACTTAGACTTATATACCACTTTACAGTGCTTGAACGCCCTCTCTAAGCGGTTTACAGAGTCAGCATTTTGCCCCCAACAATCTGGGTCCTCATTTTCCAACCTCAGAAGGATGCAAGGCTGAGTCAACCCGAGCCTGGTGAGATTTGAACTGCCAAATTGCAGGCAGCTGGCAGGCAGCAGAAGTAGTCTGTAGTACTGCACTTTAACCACTGTGCAATGGAATTGCAACTTCTAGAGTTTGCTGCTTGAGAATTCTGGGTGTTTCAGTCCCATCATGTGGGGTGGGCAAAAGCTGATATAATCCTATTGGGTTGTACTTGGTTTAACACAGTCTGAATATCCATGTTTGATGCTGTATGTATCCACTCAGGAATAAAACAATACAGATAGTCCTCGACTTAGAACAGTTCGTTTAGTTACCATTCGAAGTTACAACAGCACTGAAAAAAGTGACTTATAACCATTTTTCACTCTTACAACCATTGCAGCATCCCAACAATCACATGATCAAAATTCAGATGCTTGGCAACTGACTCATATTTATGACGGTCATAATGTCCCGGGATCTCATGTGATCACCTTTGGTGACCTTCTGACAAGCAGTTAATGGAGAAGCCAGATTCACTTAACAACTGTGTTACTAACTTTACAACTGCAATGATTCACTTAACAACTGTGGCAAGAAAGGTTGTAAAATGGGGCAAAACTCACCTAATACATATCTGACTTAGCAAATAAATTTTGGGCTCAGTTGTGGTCTTAAGTCGAGGACTACCTATAGAATTCAGGGAAGTTATTTCCAGTGAAAATGTGCTTAGATGCACATTTAATTCTTTAGCGGAATTAGGTATTAATCAACATGGTTAATTTCCTTAAGCATATATTTTTGCTTTTCACTTGTTATTTTGTAATACTTTCTGCCTGTGCCCCCTACGGTGATAGCCATCCAAATTCTCTCTTAATAAGAATACCATTGGGACTCTCAAGATTTCAACTATTCCAAAACAAAACAAGATAGAAAAAAATTAAAAAGTAAAGATAATACCCTGAGACAAGATATCAGCATTTCTGCTGCGCAATAGTTGGGGTTTTGTTTATGGAATCTCTGTGCTATGAATTGAAGCAACTGTGTCCTTATCAATGGCTGTTACAGGCACTCCTTGACTTACCACCATTCATAGGGTGACCATTTGAACTTATGGCACTGAAAAAAATGACTTGCAACTAGTCCTTGCACTTTTGACTGTCACGACATCTTCAAATGATCAGAATTTGGGCACTTGACAACCGGCATGATAGTTGCAGTGTCCTGGGATCATGTGATCACTGCAATGTTCTTAGCTGGCTTCCAACAAGCAAGATTGATGGGGAGAAGCTGGATTCCCTAGCAATTGCAGTGATTTGCTTAACTGTGGCAAGAAATGTTGTAAAATTGGGCAGTGAACAATCACCTTGTAAATCAAGGACTACCTCTAAATGGATAGTTAGATAGAATCATTGTTACATTTTACATTTGTGAATTGTCCTTCATCAAATTTCAGACATAGTTAATAATAATTCCAAATGATTTGCAACATGATTTTAAAAAACAATCTGTTGATAAAATACATGTTGGACAGGCAAGCAATCAATGGAACTAATATCTGTCATGTCTAACTTCAGTCTTATTCATTTGAGTTGAATTGGGTCAATTCCCAGATATCACTCTGATGAAAAAGAGAAGGAACTGTGGAGGATGGATATTGCCTTTGTAGGCTTGGTACACTTCCCATCAGAATCCAGTTGTCGACCATTAAAACAACACTCTGGATCCTCTCTTATAAATCAACAATTATCGGGTTGTCTAAAATTCTTCCTAGGAGGCAGTAGTGAAGAACAAGAAGCTCCATGCTTTTGGTCTTAAATGTGACATTCACATGGTTTTAATCCTATGTTTTTCCTACCGGTTGGAATTGTGGCATGAGGAAAAGACAGCTGTTAGGAGTTGTTGACAGGAGAGCATCTGAGGTTACTGGCTAATGTATACCACTCTGAGAATTGGAAAAGGTTATAGAATGATATTTCCAAAAGCTCACTGTCCCACAATAGAACAGGATTAATTAGTTTAACAATCCCTGAGATGTGTGTGGGGGGGGGCACTTTTAAAGCCTCTTAGTTGTGAGAAAAATAAAGGTATTTTTTAACACAAAAGCCAAATGTTAAAGGTAGTATCAGAAGAGTGTTTAGATAAAAGCCAATTTCATTCAGAAGATAAACTCGCTGGACAAGACCTGTGTTAAATCCCTTTTGAGCTTTGAAAGTTTCTTGATGATCCAATATAAATAAGTATTTAAATTTAAAGGCAGAAGCTGCCCAACATATTAAGCATATAAGGTGAGCTCAGACCAAATATTCATCTACTCCCAACATTTTTGGTCTATTCACACGAAAGAATGTGTGTTTTTTTCCAGTTTAAGCTGTTGTATAAATCCAGGAAGGGAGGGGGAGAAACATTATAGGGACTCCTCAACTAATGTCCATAATTGGGACCAGAATTTCCATTGCTGAGCAATGTGATTATTGAATCACACCCAATTTTAGAGAACTTTTTTGCTATGATTGTTAAGCAAATCATTATTGTTAAGTGAATCACATGGTCGTTAAGCGAATCCAGCTCCCTGTATTGACTTTGCTTGTCAGAAGTTGGCTGGGAAGTTGCGATGCCAGTTGCCAAGCATTAGAATTTTGATCACATGATTATGACTATGGAGATGCTGCAACGGTCATAAGTGCAAGGACCAGTCATAAGTCACTTTTTTCAATGTCGTCGCAACTTCGAACGGTCACTAAATGAATGGTGGTAAGTCAAGGACTATGATTTTAGTGTACCTTGGACAAGAGAACTCAGAAAGTGAAGGCTGAGGACTTTTCTTCACGGGCACTGTCTTCTTGAATGCTCTGTCTTGTTTCTTGATTTATAACCACTGTTAGCCATTGGGTGAAATAATCTGTAGGGTTGCAGATATTTGTGAATATCAGGAACAACATTGCTGTATTCCACTTACCTAGGAAGCCTAGAAAAGCTGTGGTATGATTTAACAGATCTGGAAGCAGTTCAGAGATGGATGAAACTAATATAATAAATATAATTTGGGGAGAGATTCTATTGGTGGAGATTCTTCTAATCTGATCAAAGGGTCCTGCTTACCTGTGGAAAGGTAACTTGGGAAGTCATGAATCTCTTTGATTCCAGCAACCAGCGACCTTAAGCTTAAGTGCTTATGACTGAATTTGTTCTTTTTTCTTTCTTCCCCATCACCTTCTCCTTGTCTGCCACATTTGTTAGGGCGTGAACATGGACTAGGGGTATTTGTAAAAGTGTTAACTAGACAGTAGGATAAAAATAGTTTAAATATTAGCATGCTAATCAAATGGGTGCAAAGCCATACCTTTTTTTCTTAAAAAAAAAAAACAAAACAGATGGACTAGGAATTTTGCAATGAGCATGTCAATGAAATTCTCCTGCCATGCAGTCATTAACCAATCTCTTTTTTCCTGTCTTTCTTCAGGGGGGCTTTTTCCGTGGTGCGACGCTGTGTCAAACTTTGCACTGGACATGAATATGCCGCCAAGATTATCAACACCAAGAAGCTTTCAGCAAGAGGTAGGGTTGGTTTCCTTCTTTCTGCAAAATGACTGTGCTTTCCATATTTCTGCTCTAGGAGGATTCTGTTGTTTTGGTTCCCTGAGGTGCTGCCGTGTTTCAAGAGACACTCTCAACATGTAGAATGATGAGAAAATAGATTGGTAGTTCTGGCAAACAAGGCAAAGCTGCCAGAGGTAACAAGTGCAGAAATTACTGCTTATCAACAAGAGAAAATGGAAAGGCTCTTGAAGAATCAATAGTTCTTTCCGCATGTTATTTTGAAAAGTAGTTTGCACCCCTTTCTTTCCTTTGGTTACTAGGGAAAAGACCATTTTCCAACCATCCCTTTTGCCCTTGGAGTCTTGAAATTTATGATGAGCTCAAAGGGCCCAGATATTTATATTTTATAGAGTGGAATGAACTAGTTGGCAGAAAAAAATTATGTGTGAAAAGGAATGTTTATGGGAATAATGAAGACCAAATGAAACAAACTGAGTTTACTGAAGATATGGTATTGTGAGCAATTGACCTGGGCCTTGTGACAGTAGAGCCAGGCAGTAGGTGAGTCATTAAGCCATGAAATACTAATTTTAGGAATCTTTTAAGCAGCAATGAAAGTGAGAAAGTTCATTTTACTTTGTACTTGGTTTATACATCGCTTTTAGTTCTTTTCTGACAGGAATTTCAGAATTTCACCTAATAATCTGTTCCAGGCCCATTTGGAAATACAAAGATGGTGACTCAATGTCAGGGCCCAAGAACCAAGAAGGACACGCAGAATTTTCTTTTCTGCAATTTCTTTTATTGTTCCTCACCTGTACAGAGGTGTAGGACATGTGAAAAATGCCTTGATGGATCCCAAACTGAATGTGAGTCAACAAAAAATGATGGCAAAAGAGCAAAACAGTCCAAGGCTGCAACAGCTAAAGTGTAGAGCCAAAGTCAAGAAAAGTTGTTGCTCCTCTATATTCTCGGTTGGTTACATTACACATAGAATATGGCATCCATGATTTTAGGCAGGCTGGCAGGGAAATCCTGGAAGTTGAAGTCCACACAACTTAAAAGTTATTGAGGTTGAGAAATAGTGGATTAGACATTAGGAAGGACTTCTTGGCAGTAAGTACTGACAATAGAAGTGAAATAGATTGCCCATGGAGCAGTTTCTTCCCCTTCACTGGAGGTTGTCAAGTAGGGATTGGATACTATTATGGTGAATTTGGCATTGTTCGGGGGGGATTGGATTTAACGACCTCTTATCTTCCTTCCAACTCTCTGATCAAATCCACAGGAGAAGATAAAAGTACTTTATATGAAGTGGAAGATCCCACTTATGTGCCTCTGTTCAGGGTGAGAGGGATTGATAGATAAGATCTAACATTCTGCTTGGTTCAGCTCCCCCCTTTCCAGATTGTGGTGGCATCATCATCTCTGTGTCCATTTCCACATGAATAGTTAGCATTTCCTGTAATTTAATTTTGAAGCCATAATGTAGGATCCCAGAGGAAAACATGACTTGCTTTTTAATGATGATTGCTTAAAGATAAATTCTAGGCACAACCTAGGCAGGGTAACTAATTTACTAATTGGATTACCATAGTAAAGTTTAGATGCAAAGGAGAGGCTGAGGTTGAGATATTGGAGAGAAGCTGATTAAAGGCAGTACTGAAGTGTTTAAAAGGTGCACATGATTATGAGTAGATTAACTGTATGTGAGGCTGTGGAGAATGGTACAGGAGTTGCACAGGGCTCGTAAGTAGTAGTTATCAAAAGGTATTTTTGGTCAGACTACGGAATAGCTGTAAAAGACTGATAGGTAAAGTATTGGAAGCAAGTAGGATCAGCCAGTGTTTTGTTCCTCTTAACGGGAATCTGAATCTATTAAGCTTTACAGATATTACACCAGACCAGACAGAAATGCAGCTTTACACAAATATTTCCACACTGCCTGTAAATGGATATATTGTACATAGGAAAGAAGATTCTGATTTTGACCAGAACAAATATATCTATTGCTGGATTTAAGCTATGGTTTGTGCCTAAGTGTTGATTGTCCAGTAAATCACCTTTATGCATGATTAATCACAACATCTGAATTCCACCATAGCCTTCCTTGTTCAGGCCAACATCCGGATTCCATTTTTGTTCTCACTTTGCTGAAGACTTGTATTAGAATCCAGTTAGGTAGCTGTAGAGGCTCCTGTTAAACTCAGTTCATATACCTGGTCTGGGTTTGAACTGTTTGGAATTTTATATTAGTAGCTATGTACCAAAGGAGCAGTAAGAAATTAGTTAAGTGCATCAGATTAAGGGAATAGCAGTAAACTAAACAATGGAGAGCAAAGCAAAGGGGAAAAAAGCGATGATAATGATAGGAGCAAGAGGAAAAGGATGAGGAATAAAGAATACAAAATGGCTTCTTAAATGAGATCTGTAGACTCACTCAGCATCATCTGATTTTGATTGCTATTGCTCAAAATTTTGCAACTCTAAATTGGTCACTTAACAGGAAATTCGTAATTTAAGATTGGAATGTCTTCTGATAATTTAGAGGTTTACCATTAGTACAGTGCAGGAGTCAGCTTGAAAGACATGCATGATTGGTTCACTCTCTGAATCTGGGCATATGTAGAGAGTTTGTTGTTAAGGCATGTTGTGAAGTCTCCCCACGATCACTTTCAAGGCTGAGGAGACCAACCTCATCCAATGTCAATGCTTTTTGAGAGTCTTATAGGGAATTACAATATGTTATTCCCCAAAAACATATGGAAGTTCTGGTAAGGCCTACCTATTTTATAGCCCCCATCATCTTTAAATTGAAATTTAAAAAACCACTTCATTAAGGTTGGCTTTCCCCCCCTAAAACCAGCATGAATAAAGTGTGGGTTGAGAGGCAGCAGTGAGCCCAATCAAAGAGAAGAGAATTACCAGCTTGGTGAGCAGGGCTGGGAACTCAAATGCTCAATTCAGCCAAGGTTCCAACCAATAAAGTATCATTTGGGCCTCCAACAAGGCACAACCAAGCTTTAGCTGGAAGAAAATGTTTGGAATTAATGATTAGTATTTTAAATAGCTTTCCTATGTTCTTCCTGCGAGCTGCATTAAGAAGGGTCCTTTGTCCAGAAAAGTAAAGTAAACCGATTGCATATCTATGAATATTCTCAATCAGCCAGGTCATGGTTGTCCCAAAGGGATTTTTCAAAAGGCGACTGGACTTCCTTGGCTTTTTTTTTTTTTTTGTAAAAAAACATTTCGCTTCTCATCCAAGAAGCTTCTTCAAGTTCTTCTTTCAATTCCATTATTCAAATCTTTTTTCCCTCTACCTTCCCTCCAAACCAAAAGAGTAACTTGGAATTCCTTAGGAAAAATGGGATTTTCTTTGTAACACTGAAGCTATTAACCTGTTCTCAGTTTTACAGAAATTTCAGTAGCTCAGTAAAACAAGAAAGTCCTACAGCTCATTTATTCATTTCATTTTTAATGACAGACATGTCAAGCTCATCCCAATCCCACAGAGTTCTGAAGAAGCTTCTTGGATGAGAAGTGTGACATTTTCAAAGAAAAGAAACCCCAAGAAAGTCCAGTTGCTTTTTGGAAAAGCACCTTTGGGAAAACAAATTGCATCTGTTTTTAAAAAAATTGTGCCATTCAATTAGCAAGAATTTCATAGACTTTGAATTCCTAATCTATGTTCTGCATCCACATTGCTGGCTGGATCCCTACATTGGATCTGGTGGACCTCAGAAATTTTTTGTAGCTATATATGAGGATGGGGAATTGGGGCAGAGAAGAAATAGATGTATAACTCTGTGGAATTGGGATGAGCTTGAAATGTCTGTCTTTAAGAATAACACAAATAAATGAGCTGTAGGACTTTTTTGCTTTGCAGAGCTACTGAAACTTCTGGAAACCTACAACAGGTCAATAACTTCTGTTACAAAGAAAGCCCCATATTTCCTAAGGAAGTCTATGTTGCTCTTTTAGATTGGGAGGATAGGGGAAAAAAGAGTTGAATAACAGGATTGGAAAAAAAGCAATAGACTGGTCAGCGTTTCGGCTAACTTTTAATTCGCGGCCAAATTTTTATATTTCAATTTTAATTGGTTTTAAATTTTATAAATCTATGTGTTTTAATATGGCTGTACACCGCCCTGAGTCCTTTGGGAGAAGGGCGGTATAGAAATCTAATAAACTCTTAAACTCTTAAGTTCAAATATAATGTTCATAATAATAACCTCGCCACCAAGAAAAGTTATGCATTTTAAGAGCATTTCTTGGGGCTCCTGTGAATTACAGTAGCTACAAAGATTGAGAAAAAAGCTACTTGCAAATATAAATATGTTTTCAGCTTCATTTTGTTAAACTCCCTCACCATTTGATGCGCATAGCTTTTAACCTGACAGTTGGGACTCTGTTTTATCTCCTGAAGAGATAAACATTTGAAGTGTCAAATTCCAATAGAAAAAGCGTATGAGGTAAAAAATTGGAAGTCTGAAAATTGGAAGTCTGCATTTTTTTAAAAGTTAGGTTGGCTAGTTGAAAAGGGGCTGATGACGAAGATCATGATGTTTGATAGCTTCACCTATAAGTTTGCTTCTTTAAAAAAATTAGTCTTATTTTTGTCCTTGTGAGCTCCTGGATTTATTCAGTATAGATTAGTAAATAGAAGCTGGGTGAATGAATAACCTGAGCATCCACAACATTTGTTTAATTTAATTTATATGCAGCTCATCTCATTATCCAGAGTGACTGACTTACAATTACAAAAATTACAAAAATTCACAAAGAACAAACAGGAGCTGATAAATTTTATGAAGCTTGTTTCTATTTGAGTGAACATTAAATAAAACATCTAAGGACTAAAATGCAAGGGTGAATTTTCTCACGATTTCAAAAGCTAATCATAGATCAACTTTTTCGTCTATCACTGTAAGTAATTTAATTAAAAAAGAAAAAAATGCCCATAGCTTTTACACAGATTGACTGGGTTCACATGTTGTATCACTCTGTAACCTGATTTG